ACACACACACACACACACACACACACACACACACACACACACACACACACTTACACACACACACACACACACACACACACACACACACACACACACACACACACACACACACACACACACACACACACACACACACACACACACACACACCAGTGTGTTTACCTCTTCATATCCACTGTTGTCACATCGAAGGTGACTCCTTTCAGCCACAGCACCATGAAGAGGCGCTGGGAGAACGGGCAGTTGCCGATGCTCTGACCATCGCTCCCTGCCTGGGACACAAAAACAAATAAATGCGAACCATTTTTATTACATTTCATTTAGCTGACGCTTCTATCTAAAGAGACTAACAATAAGTGCAATAAACCATAAAGATTCCAACTCAGAACAAAAAGAAAAGTGCTGATATATTACCTCAAATAGGTCAGACCATTGTTTCAAATAGGCTTCGAGTGTTATTTTATGTAGTGTCAATTAATTGATTAAAGTTTAGAAAAATGTATATTAGTGATTCCCAAAGGCAGAGAGGAGGACATCCTCAAATCTTGTCTTGTCCTTAACTCACAGATATTCAGTTGACTTGTCATAGAAAAATGAACTCAAAATGTTATATCATGTTTTAAAGCAAAAATGACAAAACGCTCTGGATCCATTGCTGCTTTTCTTAGTCTCATAGTCTCGTACTCGGTAAGAATACGAAATTAACTTAAAAATCACAATTCCCCTAAGCTCAAACTGAAGTCTTCAAATGTCTCTCTTTTTTTAATCATCACGTAGAATAAAGAGAAGCACAAAATCCTCATTATTGAGAAGCTTGAACAGCTTGAAGTGTGTCAGTTTTTGTTTAAAAGTGACCTCATTAATTAATTGATTGTCAAAACAGTTATCAATGAATTTCTTGTCCATTAATCAATCGATTTAAAGACTAAGCGTTTCAACTCTATATGATAGCAAGATTAAATAACTAACATTTTGTAGACTAAATAATGAACATCGCCATTCATTTGATATACAAATCAGTCAGGAACTATACAAATAAATCAAAATGTCACTATCACTTTCAAGCAGATATGACACATTTTCTCGAGTAGTTCCTTTTTGTCTTTTAAAACATTTAGAGGCTTTGGTTTTGGATTGCTGCTTTGGAGAAAATAAGCTATGGAGAGGATGTGACCCTAGACATAAAAAAAACTAAAATTGAATAGACCTAAGATTAATTTCTGTATTTACGTAGAGCTTGTATGCTGCTCAGGAAATGATCATACAGTCTGGAAATGTTCTCTGCGTGGCTGCAGGAAGACATCTTTTATGTTCAGTCATAAGGGTTTGTCCTGTGGTGTGAACAGCCAGTTTAAAACAGTAAGGCGCTGCTTTCTGCTACTGTGGCCAATGTGAAACTATACTTCCTGTTAACTAAGGTTATCAACATTGAATAGACTAGTGACATTGAAAAGTTACAACAGAATCTTTCACCCCTGAAGGGAAAAAAGCGTAGAGGGAGGTGTTCACATGTTCATACAGAGAGATCTTTATTTAAACATGTGGGACCATGAAAGGAAGCCATATTTGTTGTATTAAGAGTTTTTGACTCAAAGGAAGTGGCATTAGCCTGCCTGCCATACTTACTAAATATAGATGAAAGTCGTCAGCCCATTGGGTTAACGAGCATTTAATTAGATTAGCTTTACTGTCATGTATAAACCCGGTGTGTCAGCAGAGGTCTGACTGACATGAATATTAAAACAAGAGGCTGTATTTTGATTTAAACGACCAAGGTGACTTTATGTCTACTCATACGAGCACTAAGGGATATCGTATCAGCTTTTGATAGCAATACACTGAGCATGCGGATTATAAAACAAGATACGACACTTTAAAGACACCGTTTCTGGAGCCCGTTAAATATATAAATGTCACATGTTGTCGCCGTGTCAAAACTTACTGTATTCTTTAGGGGGGCAGGGTGTCATTCAATCACTTACCTTCACGAAAAGTTCAACTTTGGGCTGATTCGCGTCGCTCATATTCACCTGCTGATGCACGAAACCCTTTAAAAGAAGAACCGCGGACACGAAGAAGTGGTTAAAATAATGCAGCAGTTACATTTCCTAAACGAGAAACAAAAACCCGGGCAGCCAAGCCCATCTTCCGCTACAAAGCCTAGTCAGTAAAGGACACATTTAAACATTGTAGCTAACACGAACGCAGCGTAAACGTTACACAAACCTAACTTTAGCTGGTTTAAAGCACAAAATAACACATTTCAGATCATTTTAAGTGTGCAGGGGCTACCTAGAAAGTGTTTAAAGTTAGTTGTCGCCTGTAGTTGTGTGTGTGTGGTTTCTCCTCCCAGTTCTTCTCTCTCTCTCTCTCTCTCTCTCTCTCTCTCTCTCTCTCTCTCTCTCTCTCTCTCACTACAGCTCCACCATTTCCTGCTGCTGCGTGAAAGGCAGAGATGCGTTCAAGAGCGACAACGACAAAAAGTGGCTCTGAAGTCAATAAGAAATAAGAAGAGGGTAAGAGAGTAAAAATAGGAAAATATATAATTATTAAATGCAATAACATTTACTAAGCACAGAATGGAAATGTAAGGTAGAATAAACTAGAAACGCACACGCACTGGGTAAGTGGTGGCAGTTATGGATTTATGGACCTGTATGCTTTGTGACTATTTACATTTGCTTCAAGAATTGTCTCAATTGGCTTATGTGTTTTGTTTAATATATTTTAATAGCTTTTAATGCCATGATGACTTTCTGCATTATCATTATTCAGAAAAAAATGTTTATATATAGCCCTAATCTCTTACAACAAGACCCTTCAATCAGTCCTTGTGTATCAGACCAATTTGTCTTAGGTAAATACAGGTTTAAAAAAACAAAACATAATTAGAGCGGGTCTTCTAATGAAAATGTAGCTAAGAAAGTCATATGGAATTTAAATATGCGATAGATCATTAAGATGTCGGTCAAGCACTTTTAGGAAGACATTCGTAGTTCAATGTTTTATTTTAGCTGGATGTTTATGTATCAGGCAGCCATGACTGATCACAGAGGAATGAGCCAGTGTAACAAATGCTTATGCTAAAATCACTTCTCAATTCAACACACTTCTGTGTTGTGAACTGCAATATAATAAAGAGCCAGTAGAGCGAGGTATGGAGCTTCACTTTGCTTTCTGCTCTCAGAGGAAAAACGAAAATGTTAATAAGAGCTTTGTCCACAATGTCCACATACAAGATCTTCAGTGCAGTATTAGTTTTGCTTCTTTATTTTATTGATTTCTTTGTCAAACTTCTTCTTTGGTCAAAAAGGAAAATGTTTCACTCTCGCTGAGAAATTTGGCAATAAATGTCAAATTAACTCAATCGAATAAAGAAAAACCTTCTGTAATAAGAGGTTGTTGTTTCCCAAGGCCATCTTCCGAATTATTCTATATCACTGAAATTTGATGTATCATTTTTTTCTTCATTTATTTTTACCAACACCGGATGTGATGAAGTAAAATTGCAACGTATTACAACATTTAAAGAATGTTTTTAGCTCTAAGATTTCGAGAGGAAAGGGCCCTAATATGCTCACTTCCAGGTTCATATTTGTATTTTGTTTCTCTACTGTGACATGATTATATGCCTTAATGTTCAAAAAAAGCTTTGTGTTTCTCATAGTGCTTGTGTTGCTGCACCTCTTTTCCCCCTCTGCCTAAAACCAGAGCCCAGTCTGCTCTGATTGGTTAGTTGGCCGGCTCTGTTGTGATTGGTCGACAAGTTAGAGATGTCACACCCTTTAGCCTGTACAATTTGTTTGAGCGCTAGCCAATAGGAGTGAGTGTTACATAGTGATGTCATTATATTTAGGAAGTAAACAAAGGAGTCGAGCTGTTTCAGGCAAGAGGGTGGGGGGGGGATGTGGAGCTCTAGCCAACTGAGTAATCAGCTCAGCTGCAACCAACGAGGTAATGAAGCATGTGTCCTCATAAACCAGCATTTTCTTGAAGTATCAGCCCTGTCAGACAAAGACAACTAAAGACAAAGGAGTCTCGAAGGACTCTAGTGGGGGCAAATCCAAATTTAATTTGGCCAATTTTCTGTTAATTCTTAATAATACTATATTCTTCTTCACTCTCCTTATTCAGACATGTGTTTACTTTCCATTCCTATTCATGTTTCTTCTCATAGGGCCTCGCACACATTTCTCATCACCATAACTTGTCGGATCTTATCTATCCAACTCGTTCTACTTACACACATCGCTTTGTCACAGGCGTCCTGGGGAACTGCCAGTCTGCTACTGAAAAGACAAGGTTCATTTCTGGCTACGCCTTCCAACAATGCCTGGATTTCCTTACAGTCACTGAGACTTGGATCACACAAACCCACACACCCAGACCCACTGGTCTTCATAACTCCCAATTGAGTTTTTCCACATTTTCTCCTTCTTTTTAAGTTTATGCTGTTGTTGTTGTTGTTGTTGTCCTCTACCGTCCTATTGGGGGATTTTCTTGTGGAGCTAGATGCCCTCCTATCTAACATCCTTGACACTGGTCTGCAGCTTGTAATTCTTGGTGACCCCAAAAGAGAAGCTGTCTGATTTACTACTCCTGCTAAAATCATTTTCTGAATAACTGTCTCCATCTACTCATAAAGCTGGCAACCTCCTCGACCTTATGTCACACTGCTCTACCTCTGACTTCTCTTTACCCCACTTCACACCTCTGATCACCTATTTCCTCAAATACTGTTTCAATGATGACAACACAAAAAAAACATATCATAGTGATGCTTTTTATTGATGCTTCATAGGTTGGAAAATGATCTTTTGAATACAGATAGGACAAATCAAAGTAAATAATAAAGTATTCTGATTTATAATGATCACTTCATATCAGAATAAGTGCAAACAGTGAACATATCCACTCAGGGGACTGCTGTAGAAACAAACAGGTATATGTAAAACTACAACAAGCCCCACAGAGAGGACAGCATGGCGACAGAGAGGGCTGCAGTCACAGACAGCTGGACAGATGCAGCTCCGTTACACAGGTTAAATGCACAACACTGGAGGAACGCAGTGTATCTTTCACCGAGCAAGGTGCTGTCCAGTACTGCCCCACACAGAGTGCTGCTCAGGCAGCCGCGTTTGTGCAGCGACACCTGTCCTGTCCCGTTGAACCCTGGGAGAAATGGAAACCAGAAGACAATGTCAGCAAATAAAATAAAAAAGCAAATCTACTTGTTAAAGGGGCAAAAGGGGCATTTTTTACTCTTATATTGATATAAAGTAAATGTTGATTGCACAATGTAAAAATGTGACTATTAGATTTGATTGGTATTTATATTCGTTCCCTAACTTTCAACACATTTTGACTGCTTCCAGGTCACAACCGACCAAAAAATTATTTACGCCGCAAATATGTGGAATATAAAATGTGATTGTGTTCGACTTTTTCAGAAGATGAAAACGTCTTGGCAGAAGGCTTTGAGCCTTTAAAATGTTTCATGATGTTGATTTTTTGAAAATGTGCTTCCATCAACTCTACAATTACATAAGTATTTATCAGACTTTGTACAATCGCCATTTAAAACTGTAGTTGTTTTACCTTTTGATGTGATTCCAATCCAAACTCTCTGAACATTTTGTAAACATCAACAGTTCTATGGTAAGGCGACAGATTAAGAAAATGTGATAACCAATTTAACCAATTTGTGTGGCATTCATGATTTTGATGCTTATTTATTATGTTTAGTTTTACGACATACTGTAGAAACATTTCAACTTTGTGTATTCATAGTATATTCAGAGTGTTTTCCTTACTTAGTTCCCCTTGAAAGCAGAGCTCATTAGCAGCACATTGGATGTCCTTTCCAGAGAGACAGGTCGCAGATGAGCCAACAGGGCACTGACGGCAGGTCAGGCATTGTGCTGTTTAATGAAAAGAAGAAGACATGTGTTAATCAGATACACAGTACAGTAACTTGCTCAGCAACATCGTTTTATGTTTCTTATCTTTATAGATAAGATTATAGTTCCTCCACCAGCACCGCATTGAAAGAGGCTGGTTTGTGTTTAAACATTCCAAAGTGTAAAATTACAATCTGTGCAGAGGTGATATTTTATTTTTTATTTAGCCTTTATTTATACAGGTAAAATCTAATTGAGACACAGGGTCTCATTCTCAAGAGAGACCTGATCAGTGGTAACAATACCACACAAAGTTACAGACAGACAGATAGATAGATATCTTGGAGTCTTTAGAGGTGATGGTATTTGGATAACATCTGGAGGGAGCCAAGCTAGCTGTTTCCTCCTGTTACCACTCTTTGTGCTAAGCTAAGCTAACTGCAACATGGCAAGTTTAACTGGAGAGTTAACTCTCAGCGAGTAAGCATATTTAAACCAAATTTCAGCCAATTTCTTCAAATGAACATCTACTCCAACCGATAAACTCTTGCTTTTGTTCTTAAGTTTGAGTTTTTTACAGGTCTGAATTGTATTGATCTAATTGAAAAAAATCATCACTGTGACTGGGGCCAGTTTCAAAATGCAAAATGTGACCATAATTGACCATTAGCGAATCACTGCTTTTAATTAGTAGCTAAGGTTTGCATTGTTGTATTTTAGACAAGTAAATAAACAAGCATTGATTTTCCTTCTTTACTACAACAACGTAAACAGATACTCATATACATTCAGGGAGGTGTATCTTTATGTTGCCTTTAAATCAATTTTACTGCTAATATGTCTTATAAAACATAAGCAGGAGTACTTTGCTAGATCTGTGGTAATTAGTGCTGGACCAGACACTTATACCACACTGAGTCTAATTAAACTGCAATGCAGTGAAATCACCTGGGCCAGGTGATTTCACTGCATTGCAGTTTAATTAGACTCAGTGTGGTATAAGTGTCTGGTCCAGCACTAATTACCACAGATCTAGCAAAGTACTCCTGCTTNCGAGCCGCTCCGATTACAACGAGAGTTACAACGAGAACGTGACGTCATATTTACACTAGACGGATCCTTTCTAGCCATAACCGAGGAACTGCAGGTATATTCACACAAAAATAATGTAGGCTTAATAACCCCATCTATCTATCTATATATATATCTATAACAATAGTCTTAATTTACAATAGGCATAATTGTAAAACAACATAGGCCTACATCTATTGCAGTTATGATGTCATAATAACATACAATTGTATAAAACACAATTTGCTTACATCTTTGTTCTCTTTTGATAATCAAACAAAACAGATTTAAATGACAAAAAGAATGCAAACAAACAAGTGAAATGAACTAAATTGCTGAATTGCTTTTGATTCACTGGCAGGAGCGACAAGTGAGGAGGAGCAAAAAGTGAC